TTAGATAAAAATATCTGTATTATTTGCATAACTTGTCAACTTAATAATGAAGCAAAAACTTCAGAATCTGACACCACAAATTAATCATTCTAGCACTAGTCACTAATTTAAAAACAAAATTATTGATTTTCGTGGAGCTTCCTGGGACCTCCTGGCTCCTGTCTGATCTCATCCAGCTCCCTCCTCTCTGAAGGAAAGAGACCTCCTATCTTGATGATATTTATCATTTCCCCTCTTATAAAGTAGATTTAGCCACATATGATGTATCTCCAAATGGAATGTTGTGGGTTTATTTAAAATTGAATTTATAGCCTTTTGAGCTTCATTTAAATGTCACATATTGTCCTGGTAGATAAAAAGTAGATCTCTGCTCATGAAACTTGGATTTTCACTGAGGCATAAAAATGTTGTTATTCTTGTTCTCTGGCAATGTCTTCCTGGATTTAGGGAAGCAGCCTCATCACTTCTATAGATTCTTGAAAGAGGAAGTGCATGAGTGAGAATGTTGTAATCCAGCCAAGCAAACTGAGTTGCTCCTAGTCAAGGAAAGGTCACCAGATAGACTGGTCTTTTGGACATCTTGGAAGTAGATGAACTAGATTTCAGCCTGAGCAATTGGCCTAAGGAGAAGGGAAGCTAGAGAGCAGAGTGCTGAATGTGGAATCCGAGGAAAGGACGATGTGGACAAGGATGGGTCAGCATAAGTGTCTTGAATGCTGAGCTCCTGCACCTGGATTCCTGGTGTAGGCAGATTGCTAAGCTTCTGGTGATTGGAACAGTGTAGAGCATCAGATAGATAACTCCTCTCTCGCTTCCTCCTTCATTAATCTTTCAACAGTGATTTAGAAATACTTGCTCTATCATACATAGACCAAACATAGCCGTGATCATGAGGTTGATACAAGATCAAATAGTGTTCCTTCTTTTGCACGTAGGGTCACTGTGAATCAAAGTTGACAGCAATATGCATTGAGTCCCTGGATGGTGCAAGTGGTTAACATGCACAGCTGTTAACCAAAAGATGGAGATTCTTGTTCCCCCAAAGAGACTTTGAACGAAGGGTCTGTCTCCTTCTGGAAAATCACAAACCCCTGGTCAATGCAAGTCATATGGCCAAGGTTGATGTCACTGGAGAAGGAAGTAGATCCTTCCACACTGAGTGCTCTGCCATATGACACAGGACAATAGTTCACACTACAGACTCTTATTTTGGGGTGGGCAGACAGAGAATACTATTTGCTGTCCAGATTTATTATAGATATAAACCGATGATCAAAATAATAGCATGAGCATGCTTTAGAGTAAAGAAATGTTATGTTTTTTACTTTATAAAATAAATTTACATATAGAAATGTATTTTCCTCTTGAATGAAAAATCAGTTTGCTTTGTAAACTTTCACTCAAATTGTTATTGTTGTTGTTATGTGCCATCGAGTCGTTTGCGACTCATAGTGACCCTATATGTACAACAGCCATAAACCCTGCTCTATCCTTTGCCAATCTCATTGCCTCTGACACACCCATCCCGATTACTCCAGTCACTGAATCAATCCACCTCA